ACGTCACTACTGAAAGAGTGGTCACGTTTCCTTCCGTGGGCAGAATATGCACAAAACATTTGTCAGTCTCTCACATTATTGGCTAGCTTTTGTTGTAATACATTTATCACAGTTCTTTTTATTTAGTTCTTAATATATCAAAGAACATTTTTCACTGAAAATCCCAATTGAAAGCTTATAAAAAAAAATTCATTGACGACCTATTTTTCATGTGAATTGTCATTGCACACAAACACATACGCTACTATGCAACCAGACCAAAAACAAAAATCAAACAAGGGCTAAATCACACTTGCCACATCAAACACAAAGAGAACTTGCATAAGTATCCAGCACTATGTTCAGTGGAAAATACCACTCAGCACACTTTCTTCAAGCAATCTGTTGGCTTCTGTCTCCCAGATCATCATGACCAAAAGCCTCTCTCCCTCACATGCTCACTCGCCAAGCTTGTGTGTTCTTCAGTTAGTAGTTTGCACTGGAAACACAAAGGCGCACTTAAATGGACAAAGAAAACACTACCATCATCAGCAATTTCCAGCTGTGCAAAGCCAGTGGTACTTAACTCTGTCGAAGAGTTAACTCAGTGGAGAGTCATATCCTCACTCTTCCATCAGATGTCTGCAGCCTCTTGCTGGTCGACCTCTCTCTCACTTGCTCCCTTGCCTGCTTGCCCAGCTTCAGCATGCAGCTCTGACATCCACTGGCTCTTTTTAACAGTTTGGTACATCAAATGGATATCAGTCCTAAATTCAATATTTAAATTTGCATTAGTGCAGAGTTGTAATTTACATTTGTTAATTTACATTTAAAAATATATATATTATTTAATGATTAATTTGCTATCTAAAGGGTGCTGTTATTATAATGTATTAAAAAATGCATCCTGGCCCTTGCTGCCTCACTACAGAATCAAGATCTGAGCCAATCCAAGTATATTTACTGGATTAGTTATCTGCTATGTTAAACATATGGTTTTGCAAAACTCAAACATACACTTTTTTTATTACAATGCCCTCCAATAATATTGGTACTTCTGGTAAACACAAGCAAAACATGCTGTAAAAAAACATTCTTTTGTTTCTATTGTTTATCCATTTGATCTTTCATTAAGAATTTTAACACAAATCTAACTTTTATTTGAAGTGCATTGATTGAAACAAAAATAAATCTTAACATGAAATAAATAATTTGTCTCAAATCTATTTGTGCCACAATTGTTGGCTCCCCTTCATGTAATACTTTGTGCAGCCTCCCTTTGCAAAGATAACAGCACTGAGTCTTCTTCTATAACATGTAATGAGACTACAGCATACATATCAAGGGATCTGAGAACATTCCTTTATACAGAACTTCACCAGATCCTTCAGATTCTGAGATCCACACTGTGGATTTTTCTCCTCAACTCATCCCACAGGTTTTCTAAAGGGTTTAGGTCAGGGGACTAGGATTGCCATGGCAAAACTCAAAGGAGATGAGGTTCTTTTCTGTATGGCTACCTTTGTATCTATGCCAAACCCACCTCTGGTGTTTGTTGCTAAAAATCTCTAGTTTGATACCAATGAAAATTACAGTAATGTCTGGCAAATTGTAGGCATTTGAGATTGTTGGTGCTTAATAGAAGAGGCTTTCTTCTGGCAACCCTCCCAAACAGCTTCTGGCTATGTACATGACATCAGATTGTATTCTGCAATTCCTTAACTGTGATCTTCGGAGATTTTTTGGCCACTCAAACTCTGACCAGTAGATTTTTAACATCTCCAGCTGCTTTAAACTTGGAAATGGACATTTCCTGATTTATGCAGCTCAACAACATTTTGTCACATATCATTGCTGTATTCTCTGGTCTTTCTCATAGAGATGGATAACTAAGATAATTTGATCTGATTGCCTCTTCATATTTATATGCAAGTGAAACAGAATGTCATGGCTCACATTTTGTGTTCAAAGAAAAATGTCTATTTCATCATGCAATATAGGTTTTTTTTCTTTCAATCATTGTTCTTCTAATAAATGTTAGATTTTCTGTTAAAATTTGGAATGAAAGATCAAAAGAATAAGCAATAAACAATCTTTCCACAGTGTGCTTTGCTAATGTTTAACAGGGGTCCATCAATCAAGGCAGGTTTGGTGTCCAAAGTTTAATGTATTATATCATACTGTAAATAAGATAACACATTTTATATAACATTAACAGCATCTATCCAAGATTTTCTATTTTTTCAAATCTACTACACACAAAGGGTATTATTAGGTTGAACTAATTATTCATATTATCCTTATTATTCAGCTGCTGAAAAATATTAAGCATTCTGCATGCATCATACCAACAGTCCATCAGCAAAATGATTATATATTAAATATGAGAGAAATATTTGGCTACAAATATCTGTGTACTTACTTCTAGATAAAAATTAAAAATGTAACAAGTGGAGTAACACCATTCCATTTTTATTCCCCTGATTTAAACTTTAGTATGTACTGTACTGACTCTGCCTTTACAGACTAGCTGAATGTAATCTCACCACAATGTCCTGTTAAAAATTGTCATCTGCTCTACAATAAATATAAATTCCTCCCTGAAAGATCTGGACCTGAGTAACAATGAGCTTCAGGATTCCGGAATGGAGCTGCTGTCTACTGGACTGAAGAATTCACACTGTTTTGCTGCAAAGTAGATCTTTAATAATAAACGTTAAGCTCTTATATTTAATATTTTGTTTTTCATGAACATACATTCAAAGTTGTCAGCTTGGATGATAAAAACACTACACTGTAAAAAGTGGAATAGGGTAGGTAAGTTGATTTAAAGTGTTTTGTGATATTCAGATTGATGAACAATATTGCTTTTGTTAAACTTAAAAAGAATTTTTCAACAGAATTTGTAGTTGACTTGAATAAAACTAGTTAAACTGCTTGTTACCACACAAAGTGCATGTTTAGTTTGATGTGAAAAAATATTTTGCAGTATCAAGACAAGAATTATTCAAAATGCAGCTGCTAAGATTCTTACACACACCAAGTGTTCCGCATACATTATACAAATCCATCAGCAGTATAATTAATGTAGTTTTTATTACATTTAAATGACACTTTTGAAGGACTATCAGGCTGTTTTCATCTGTTGTATTTATTTCTAGATATATGAACTCTAGATATATGGAGAGTAATGTCACTCCATTCTCCTCTTTTAAATAAACTGTGTTCTGAATTTACTCTGTGTTTGCAGATTGATATGTGTAATTTTACCACACCATCCTGTAAAGAAACTGTTATCAGCTTTACAAAAAGTAAACTCCTCCCTTAAAGAGTTGGACCTCAGTAACAATGACCTGCAAGATTCAGGAGTGGAGCTACTGTCTGCTGGACTGAAGAGTTCACACTACAACCTGGAGACAGTCAAGTGAAATTTCTGTTTATTTGATTTAATTATAAATAATAAGCACTTCCATTTAATATATGACTGATTTCTAGAATGAACAATTATACATTGAAAATTGTTTTTTGGTAACGACTGGTAACATTTTGAATGACAAATATGCTAAGTGAATTTTGCAGATTTGAAGATTCTGGGGAGTCCTGCTTCAAGCAAACAGAATTCTTAGTGTTGATCAGACGTAGTATGGATCAAAGACGGGAGGCGCTAAAAACATACCTGTCAGGGGGACTGCAGGATCAAAGCTGGGAAACTCTAAAATATAGGTGTGGTAAACATTGGTTGTTCTTCCAAAGGCCCTGGACAATTTATTCGGATACAAAGCATCTCAGACTCCATCAAGTTTCTTATCAAGAAATAAAATCAAAACACATCTCAGCCAGGAAGCTTAAAATTGGCCACAGTTTGGATCTTCCAGCAGGACAATAACACAAAGCTCACAAAATGTCTCAGATACTTTACTTGTATAGCAGCAGGGAAAGAAGCATTAGTTTGGAAGCAGCCATAGTACAAACACCAGTGACAGTTCTAATAACTCACATTCAGATGAGCTATATAATAATACGTGGAAATTCAATTTAGCAAATTGACAATCATGTTACTACAGTCTGCATCATTTCTTATGCAAATACGTTTAACTCATGCTAAAGAAAAAAAACATTGATTACACAATTCATAACAGGCTATTAAGAACAAACTTCTGGAATTACATCCTCCTCCCGACCACCAAAAGAAGACTTTTTGTAGACTTGCATCTTCTAAATAAAAAATAATGAAGAAGATCAAAAATATGCTATTCAAATTTATATGAAAACTGACTGAAATCTTTATGAAGCTTATGACAATTTCATTGAGAGAGAACAACAGATTCATGACCACTGACACAGAAAACCCTTACAATAATTGATATTTAGCCAAAATGTGTGTCATCGGAAAGCCTGAAAATTTAAACATATGACAGTTTCCACTTCAGTCTCTGGATGGCACTGTGGACATGTGACAGAAGCAGAGTCTTTTATGATAAATTATTTCTCGTCTTTGGAGCACAGCATGGGCATGATTCTTGAACTGTCTGGGTCATGGGTCGTCATAAAGAGTTCTTTTCTTCTGGGGTATTTCTGTGTTTCTTATTTTGAGATGATAGCAATATTTTGATAGAGGCATCAACCATATCATGGCTTGATTTAAACACAGGGGGAGAGCTGTCAATTCCTGGGGGGTGCATCCGTCATTGCATCAGAAACACTATACTATCTTAGATCTACTAAATTAGGATTGTTTGCCACAGCATGGGCAGTGTAAACATTTTGGGGAGAATATGCAGTACCACACCTTCTCACTGGGTGTATGAGCTTTAGACTTGGTTTGATGTTTCATTTAATTTTTAATTAATGCTTATGTTTTGTGTAAAACTAGAGAGGTGGTTTTCCCCAAAAACAGACTGAAATCTGGCCTGGAATCACAGCAGACTTTTACAGCCAGAATGTGTTACGGTTACACTCATTATTGCTGATATCTTCCACAGCTTTTAGTGCACTTGTGTGTCTTTGCAGTCTTTGAATGCCTGAAATTTTTCCCACACCCTGAGCAGTGAAACGGCTTCTCTCCTGTGTGAATGCGCTGGTGTTCTTGGAGATTACTCTGTCTATTAAAACTCTTCCAACACTCTGAGCAGTGATACGGTTTCTCTCCAGTGTGAATGCGCTGGTGTGTTTTGAGATGACTCTTTACAGTAAAACTCTTCCCACACTCTGAGCAGTGATATGGTTTCTCTCCTGTGTGAATGTGCTGGTGTATTTTGAGATGACACTGTACAGTAAAACTTTTCCCACACTCTGAACAGTAATATGGTTTTACTCCTGTGTGAATGTGCTCGTGCTTTTGGAGATTACTCTTTTGAGTAAAACCCTTCCCACACACTGAGCAGTGATACGGTTTCTCTCCAGTGTGAATGCGCTGGTGTAGTCGGAGATTACTCTGCTGTCTAAAACTTTGTCCACACTCTGAGCAGTAATATGGTCTCTCTCCTGTGTGAATGCGTTGGTGTCTTTTGAGATGACTCTGTTTAGTAAAACTCTTCCCACACTCTGAGCAGTGATAAGGCTTCTCTCCTGTGTGAATGCGCTGGTGTTCTTTTAGATGACTCTGTACAGTAAAACTCTTCCCACACTCTGAGCAGTAATACGGTTTCTCTCCTGTGTGAACGCGCTGGTGTGTTTTGAGGTGACTCTTTACAGTAAAACTCTTCCCACACTCTGAGCAGTGATACGGTTTCTCTCCTGTGTGAATGTGCTGGTGTGTTTTGAGACTCCACTGTTCAGTAAAACTCTTCCCACACTCTGAGCAGTAATATGGTTTTACTCCTGTGTGAAGGCGCTGGTGCTTTTTGAGATTACTCTTTTGAGTAAAACCTTTCCCACACTCTGAGCAGTGATATGGTTTCTGTCCTGTGTGAATGCGCTGGTGTAGTCGAAGATTACTCTGTTGACTAAAACTATGTCCACACTCTGAGCAGTTATATGGTTTTACTCCTGTGTGAATCCTCTGGTGGTCTTTGAGATTACTCTGTTTAGTTAAACTGTGTCCACGTTCTGAGCAGTGATATGGTTTCTCTCCTGTGTGAATGCGCTGGTGTATTTTGAGAGCAGCCGGTACAGTAAAGCTCTTTCCACACTCCAAGCAGTTGTGATTTCTCTCCTTTCTGCATTTCTGTGTTTGTCTGTGAGATGTGTTCATGTGAAGAGTACCAGATGATGTTTGCTGAGTACATTTTCTTGATGCCATATTCTTTTATCACACCTGTTTCAGCAACTTAACTGTTCTCTTGGTGGAATGTCCTGTGGTGCCTGAGGAAGAACATTTAAGTCAAGTAGGAAAGTGCAGGAGAAGACTTGAAACTTCTTTCTGGAAGAAGAAGAAAAAAATAAAATATAAACTCAATTTGCAATGCAACAACATTTAGTCTAATCCAAACCAAGAATATCAACTGACAGAAAACATAAAGAAAGAATAAACTTCCATCTGATTTGGAAAAGCCAATAATCTAATAACTCAAACTCCTTAAATACACACACGGACCACTGAAGTCATGTTGCTATGCCGATATTGGAAACTGCAGGGCTAAAATAGATTTCTCCTTTGCTAACATAACTAGGACCATTCAACAACCACCAACATTTCATATTGTGGTAAAAAAAAACTGATCCCAAACTCGCTATGTTTCATCCTTCATTCTTCATTTTCCACTGAACTGGATCATCTTTTTTACAAGGTCATTAAAGAGCTGAGATAAGAATTTTGCTACATGTATTTTATTTTGGCAAGTTCTCAGAGCTTCAATGTCTTATCAGGCCTTGATCCAAGTCATGCATAGATAATTTCAGAGTATAAGAAATTGGTCTCATCTGAAACTATAGGTAATTGACTCTTACAAAACAAGAATTTAAGATACTGTATATCTGAGCACTTCCTTTTTATAAACTTCCACTATCTGAAATGGCATTAAGAAATTAAAGTTAAGGACAACTATTGAAGTTGGGGCAAGATCTGGAAGACTAAGAAATATCTTTTAAAAATACTTGTAGACTGTTCAGTTAGGCAAAGCAAAACCCTCACCAAACTGCCATAAAACTGCGGGAAGATCTGGCATTTTGGAATCAAGTGTTTTGGTCTAATACAACAAAAATTTAACATTTTGCCTACTACCACAGTTAATTTAATTTGTACAAACCCCATTTCTGAAATATTTAGGACATTTAAAAAATGTAATAAGAATCTGTGTTAAATCTGCAAGTGTGTTATTTTGAACTGTGAACTGACAAAAATACAAAGAAAATATTTTTAATGTTTTGGCTGACCAACTGGATTGTATTTCACAATTATAAACAAATTTCAAACTTACTGCCTGCAACACACTGAAAAAGTTGGGAAAGAGACTAAATGTGAGTGAAATGTTTATTAAATAGTTATACTGTTTTTGAAACATTTCTCAAAGAGCAGGTGACTTGGTAATTGCAAACAGTTTAGGTTTTTCACCATCTACGATACATTATATTGCAAAAAGATTTAGGGAATTTGGAGAAATCTCAGTCTGTGTAGGTCAAGGCTGGAAACCACTGCTGAATGTGACTTTCGAACCCAGACATGGGACTGCATGATAAACTGTCATGCTGCATGTTAAATATAGCCACAAGAGCTCAGGAGTACTGAAAATTGCTGTCACTTAACACAGTCTGTCACTGCATCAAGAAATGCAACTTGAAACTATCATGCAAAGAGACAGGCATGCATCAATTCTATGCAGAAACGCTGCCAAGTTCTCTGGTCTAGAGCTCATCTCAGATGGACTGAAAGACAGTGGAAATGTGTCAGATGCGTCCATGTTTCAGCTTGTTCGGCAAAACAGACATTGAGTTCACCCAGAGTGTGGGTGACTTCCGTATGTGTGAAGGTACCATTGACACAGAGAAGTTTATCAGGATTTTAGTTTTTCCTGTGAAGCCCATGATTATTTCAGCAAGGCGATGCCAGGCCTCATTCTGCACGTGCTACAACAGTGTGGCTGCATAGTGCATAGTGTGTGCTTGACTTGCTTGTCAGCACTCCAGATCTGTTGCCATTTAACAATGTAAGGTGCATGATGAAGAAGAGAATCAGACAATGACGACCACAGACTGTTGAGCAGCTTAAGTCTTGTACCATGCAAAAACAGGCAAAAATTAGTATGCTCAGTTCCCAAAGAATTAAAAAGTGTAATTAAAAGAAAAGGTGATGTAACATGTGGTAAACATGCCTCTTTCCCAACATTTGTTGAGCATGGTGCAGGGATCAAATTCTACATTTATTTGTATTTGCAAAAGACAATTAAGTTGGTGAGTGAAACATTGGACATCTTTTCTTTGTCCAGTGGCTCAAGAGAGAATTAACAAATCACATTCTTGTTTTTATTCCATTTTTCAACATGTCCTATCCTTCTTGAAATTGGGTTTGTGGGGTGGTACAATATGAAAAGGAGAATGATGTACAGGGCCATCAAAATTGTCAGCTATTAATAAATCCATCAAGCTTTTTACAAAGAGGCAGGAGTATATACAAAAAATACCTAGCTACAGGTATGTACACACACACGCACACACATACAACCAGAGGACTTGTTCTCTTGTTCTTCACTCCCTTTCACACTTAGCCAGCTACCTAATTAATACCCAGATTTCTGTTTTTGTTATTTAAACCTTGGCGAATATCCAGCACAATACCACACCCAACTTTAGGGGACAAATACTCTTTTTCTTTATTTTAACGCCATTTACAGTCACGACTGGTGACCAGTCCAGGGTGTATCGTGCCTTCCACCTTCCAATCACTGCTGGGATAGGCTCCAGCTGCCCCCGCGACCCAGAAGGATGAGCAGCTTAGAAAGTGTTTGTGTATTTACAGTCACAGTTTATGATGGTGTAGATATCGTATGACGTATAACAAGTAATGGTAAAGCTGTGTATTCCACCCACCCATTAGCCCCACCCTCCAGACACCCAACAGGCAGGTTTCCTCAAATGAGTTTAGTGTTGTTCATTTATTTAGATGTGCTCCAAGTCAGTCCAGGTTGGAGTGATCTGTAAGGATGTCAAGACAATGCCTTATGGAGATGTGAGTTCTGTCTTTCCAGTTCAGTAGAACACTTTTCAGCAATGGTGAGTTACATTAGCATAAAGACATCAGTAAAGTGGTTAGAGTGGTTTGGTATGAAATGGTTGATTCACCACCTCTGTACACCACCACAATAGAACTGAAATGAAGCAGTGAAGATGTGACTGAAGTTCAGACTTTGTTTTAATTCAAAAGATTTTGCAAAAATACAGAAATATTACAGAGTCCCTCCATTTTCACTCATCAGAAGTAATTGGACAGTTGACGGAAGAGCAATTGAAAAAGGATTTGTGTACAAATATTAAAATAATTCCTTGTATTTATAATTATAGTTTGTTACTTTTTGAGCCTGGGAAAATGGAGGAAAACATTAATGCAATAATTTTGTTTAAGCACTTGACTTAAAGATAAAAGTCTAAACTTCAATCCAGTCATGACTGCTTCATTTCAAATGCATTTTGGTGGTGTACAGAGGAAAAATTACAAAAACTGCCATTGTCCAAATATTTATAAACCTGACTAGATACATCTTTGGCTTTAAGCACTCACCCTTTATTAAAGTGATACCTAATTCTCTGTTCAAAATCGGTTCCCGTATCTAAAAACATGAAAAGCGAAGTAATTAAAAGATGATCTGATTTCCACATGGCATAAAGTTAAAAGATGACACATTTCCACATGGTGAGGATGCAGAAAAGGTTTTCTTCTGATTTTCTTCTCTTCTTCTGCCATGGCAACAGCCCTATTAACTAACTGAAAAAAAAACACATCTTTTTACCTAAAACACCACTGCATCTAAACTTATTGGTACTGAAGTACTGTTTACTCATAAAACTACAAGGATCTTTAGGAAGAATGACTTCATCATGAATGTGACTACCTGCCCCATCACACCCTATTCACACTCTCACTATACATAATCTTATACTCTCCCTAATCTGCACCTCCACAGACATTCACAGCTCTCACATTACACCCCCCTCTAAACAGACCACCTCAAACAGCCACCATAGACACTCTTACCAGCTCTTAATCTACCAGCCATTAACCTGCACATCCTGCCCAGACATTCACAGATCATTTATACTGTTCTATAATAAACTACTATTTATTCTCTACATTTGTACATATACTGGACTCTTTTTGATGATGAATTCAACAGACTTTGTTTATATTTAGCCACACTAGCTAAAAGCCATTGATAACAAACTGTTATCCAGCTAACATAAAGCAGCTGTCTGAGTCACATTTACCTGAGATTTTGTACTCGGTTCTTTAAAAGGCTGATGCTACAGACAATAAAAAAAACAATAATGCAATTTCTCTGACATCAGCTCAGTATAAAGAGCTAACATTAGTGTAAAGTCTATTCGTGTTTAAATTCACTTCATTAATAAAAAGGTCCTAAAAAACAGAGAATTTCACATAATTCACAATTTACTGAAAGAACATCTGAAAGTTAATATATGCACTTAATGTCATTATAAACACCAGTACTAGTTTGGATGAGTCATTTGCTACAGGACAAACGCTCATTTTAAAAAGATTATAATACTAAACAGTGACATTCTAATCCATATCCTACTAATAAATACAAAAAGAATGATCACTTAATCACATGATCAGCTGCTGCAGCCGGTGTATAAACCCACTTTAAGCTTTGTGTATCTTATAAAAACACCTCCATATCATACACAGAAAGGGAAAAGCCACATCTGCTGCTCCTCAGACACACAGCCCATTTACAAACCACCATCTGAGACACCCAAACACACAAATTAAGATACTTACATTAACTATCTTAATATTTCAGACGGTAGACATTAATAAACACAGCGTGAAGAAACACATAAGTTCCCCAAACCCGGTCACAGCAGCTCCTCCTCTAAATCACTGCAGGATGAGCAGCGTTTCCATCAATGAGGCTCTAACAGACATTTAAAGACCCTCATCAGTCAGTTACACCGACATATAAGGACTGAAACCAGCTTAAAGCAGCACTTACAGCTCTTTAATCTCAGACTGAGTCTCCGTTTCAGAGTCTCCCCCAAACACAACGTGCTGTCCTCATGGAGTTCCACCAGTTCCACCGCCTCCGTGTTCGTAGCCCACCGTAACACCCCTATTACACGGGACTCCCGTATTCATCATAATATATGCTCCTCCTACATTAGCTGACACAGCCTGTACCTCCCACCACAAACAACTGTCAGAAAAGGGAGATCAGAATGCAGCTGCTAGCCTGCCGTTAGCAACAGCAGAGCTAAAACACGGTCCATCGCACTCACAGCACATAGAAAAGATTGGGAAAGATAGAATACATCAATACGTATATAGAAAGATAAAATTGATTATAGAGAGATAAAATAGATTGCATTACCTACCAGGTCTGCTCTCATAGCAGAACAAGAGGAAGAAAAACAGTGCAGTGTAGCCTGTTCAGAGGATCTTCTGTGTGGAGTTACAGACGTATCAGTCAAAATCATGTGTGTGAAATCAATATTGGTGAAGAGGAACAGATGGAGCAGGAAGAGGTGATGATGAAGAAGGTGAAAGTCATGCCTTTTTAAGGGGGATGAATGAAAGAATGGTTCCTGCTGTTCAAACAGAGGAAGAACACACTGAACCTCCTTTGGTTACAAAGCTTAAAACTGGGCGGGCTTAAAAACTGGGTAGAGCAGTACAGCATCTCCCTTGTTTTTAGCTCTTTCAGCTTTGTTGAGTATTTTGTTCCTTCATCATCCATCTAACTCCCTGAAGATGGAAGACCTGTTTAAAGGACACAGTGATGATATAATATCAGACGGACAGCAGAAGGCACTACTTTCATTCTAGAGTTTTTGAAGTAATGAAAAGTCATCTGTTGAAATGTGGTCTCTCACTGAGAAATGGAATTCTAAGAATCTGCTCAGCTGTGATAAACCTGCCTGTTCATTCTTAACAAACACAAAAGGCCACAACACATCAATGCAGTCCTCACCATATCTTGGCCTCAGTATAGGATTCATATCTAACTTTCCTGTACATTCAAGTCTACATGGGTTTTCCGAAAGGCTGTTTAGTCTGTAGTTAAAAGGGCCTTGGAGTGTCTATTTGCCATCTCAACCTGTGAAGAGTTTAACACACCAAGAGTTTAGAGTTCTTTAACACACTTTAAAAAATGTATTACTTGTGAGTTTGTAAGGAAAGCCAGAGCACTCACCGAACTGTACTGATGGAAAGCCATTGAATATAGAGAGTTTCTGCTGTACACAGACCTGTTATTCTGCTTCTCATCTTGGACACTACCATGTACAATAACTTCCTGCTGCTCTTCACAGGGTTGACAGTTTTAGTGAACCAGCCTTGTGCCAAAAGTGTAATGATCGTGACTGCTGACTTGTTTTGTACAATTTCAGAGAGCTTTACAGAACGTTTGGCTGAAGATGTGCAGATTCATGATCCTCTGGATTCTGTCTCTGCTTTTCCTAAAAAAACTATGTAAAAGATCTGAAAAATATGATCAGAAAAGCAGAGCTCAAGCTGTTCATCTATCAGAGAAAACATCTGCTCCCTGTCCTATGGACTTTGTGTAAAAAGACCTTAAAGGAGGACATCTCAGTGAACCAGAGCCAGAAAATAGACAATTTCAGGAAATTAATCTAGCTGAATTCTGTCTAAAGCTCAAAGATGGTGACAGCTCATTCTGCACAGGAGATCAAATCTCTTTAGCTGGAAACTCTGAACAGTCAGATAACAGAACGTACATTATATACCACAGATTCAGCGGCAGGATTCAACCATTTTAACGCATACAGAGAGTAAGATCTTTCCTGTTTACTGTACAAGGTTAAAGTGGACAAATTGCAGGTTAAAGTCCGTTTTGCTTCCATTCATAAACGTACATATTTCATACTGCATGTGATTACAGTTTGACCAAAATGAGCCTCCAGATTCTTTACTTTCTTGGTAACTTTCTGTTACCAAGTTAGTTTCTGTGATTTTTTTTCTTTATCTTGTTCTTTATTATTCACTATTTTATTGTTTTCACAGTTGCCATTAATTTTTATTGCTTTTTAAAATTTATATTTAAAAAAAAACATTTTAATTAAAACTGTTTTAACTTAGGCTCGTTCAGGTTCAAAACATAAAAGTCTCTAGAGTGTTGTTCCAGCATATTAGGTAGAACCAGCAGAGAACACTGCTTAGTGCACTGTAAAAAAAATCTAACTCCTTAAATGTTAGGCAAATTTAAAAAAAAAATATTTGGCCCAACTTTCTCATGATTATTTAAGTCACTTAACAACCTGTATTGAGTTTATGAGTGTATCATAGCAGAAGAGCTGCATAAACTGACTTTTTCCATGAGTTCTATTACCTGGTTCAGTCTGCTGTTGAGCGAACTGACCCAGTAGTGTCATGGAGCTACATAACAGAATATACTAAACCCAGTGTACAAAACTACATGCACTACTGCAATATGGGGAGGTACCCATAAAGATTGTGCCATGCAGGCATTTGACTGTCTTTCCTCAATCTTCTTGCAGTACAGTACCATTTCAGCCCTGGTGATATGGCCCATGACATCTATTTCTATGGGGCGCATCAGTCTAGCCTCCAGTTCTGAGCACTTGGCCTTCTTGAGAGGTTGGAGATCACTTTTGTCCCACATGAAAATGCAGTGAGAATCAGTGGTGCAGCCAACCGCTATCCTTCTCATGAAGTGCCATATGTCAACATGCCCCGTTATGCTCAAAACATGTTACAGCTATAAGTGGACCCACAGCAGTCCCGATCAACATACAAAACCTGGGACTGGAAGCAACCCTGGCAGGTCTCCCAGGGCAACAGGTGTGATCAGTCCAGATGATGCAGCTCTAATGAGTCCTCTGCTGTCAGTGAGAAACTGGACCTGTTTCTGCAGCCAAGCTTCTGAGAGCTGCTCTTCCGGCTGTTTCTGGATTTGACTGCTGCTGTTCCCCAAACCCCTCTGCCACATCTGCCGCACTTCTGGCTGTCACATCCCAGTCTGGAGGTAAGGAGGCAGGGAAACTGGACATGATGGCCCATGTCTAGGTGAGGGACAATGTTCTGGCTTCAGCTGATGACCTCTTGCAGCTCTTGCACGCAAGGTATTCTGATGCTGTAAAATAGCAACTGCGGACACCAACCACCTGCCTGGTCCACTCCAGCAGAGGTGAGCTCCTCCTAGTATATTTTACTAGAATTTTACTAGAATAAACTCTAATAAAATTACTAGTTCATGTCAACACATTACTGGCTTACTGGTTTTAAATGTGCCTGTGATGTAGTGTTAAACAAGAGTCAAGAGGCTTTTATTGTCATTCCATCCATGTAAAAGTACACAGTGGAGTGAAATTATGTTCCTCCAGGAACAAGGTGCAACAAGGAACAAAAAAGTACAAAATTACGAAGAGTGTAAGTAGTCACTTTTGAGACTATATCTTAATCAGATATCTATATATTAATCAGAATGTTGCCAGAAAACCATTAGAACAATGTAAGAACATCAGTCAGAACACCTCCACAATGCTGTTAGTACACCGACAGAACACCGTCAGTACATCAATTAGCTTCCAGAAGACAATCACCAGAGCACCATGAGGATACAGCCCCAACACCATTAGAAGACCATCAGAATATCATTAGAACGCCATCACAACACCATTAGTAAACCATCAAAACACCATTAGAGCCCCATGAGAACACTGTAAGAAAATCACAAGAATACCTTTAGAACACCATGAGAACACCTTTAGAACGCCATCAGAACACCTTTAGAACATCAATCAGAACACCACTAAAACACCATTACATCACGATAAATACAAAATAAGAAGACCGTTTGAAAGAAGAAAACACTTTCACAACACACCATTCAGAACACCCCAGAACACTGTCAGTACATCAATATGAACACCACCAGAACACTGTCAGTATATCAGAACATCCCTAGAACATCAATCAGAACACCATTACAAACATCATCAGCACACCCCCAGAACACCATTAGAAAATGGTCAGAGCTCCACTAGAATACCATTAGAACACCATCAGATCATCTCCAATAAATCCATCATATCACCATAAGAACACCACCAGTACATCAAACCACCAGAACATCTATCCAAACAACCTCAAAACGACACTAGAACACCACCAGAACATCATTAGACCACCATGAGAGCACCACTAAAACACCATTCGATTATTAGAACCCCATTAGAATACCATCAATCTGATCACCTTTAGACCACCATTAAAAAACCATCAGAACATGCTTAGAACACCATCAGAGTACCATCAGAACACCAACAGTACATCAATCAGAACACCAATAGTGGTGTTCTTTTGAACACCACCAGAACATGATCAGAACACTGTAAAAACACCACCAACACACCATCAGTACATCAATCAGATGACCACCAGAACACTCTTAGAATATGACCACCTCCCCAGGACACTGTCACAACACCTTTAGAACATCATAAGAATACCATGAGATCACACCAGAACACATTAGAAAACCACCAGAACACCATTAGAACACTATCAGAATATCATTAGATCATGATCCGGACACCATCAGAAAACTATGAGAATACCACCAGAATACCAATAGAGTACCATTAGAAAACCATTAGGACACCACCAGAATGTCAATCAGAACACCTTCAGAAGACTATTAGACCACTTGGACACCACCAGAACCTCAAAAGTACATCAATCAAAAGATCTTTAGACACCACTTAAACACCGTTAGAACATCAGAACACCACCAGGGCATCATCAGAGCACTATGAGAACACCTGGGAAACAGCTTTTGAACACCATTAGAACACCGCCAGAACACCAATCTGAACTGCATTTGAACAACATTAGAACATCATTAGGACACCATTAAAACACCAGCAGAACACTGGCAGAACACCATTAAAACAACATCCGAACACCACAACACCATCAGAACACCATAAGATCACCGCCAGTACATCAATTAGTACACCACCACAATACCATTTAAAAAACCTTCAGAATACCATCACATCAGCATTTGAATATCATTCGAACATCAGTCGGATCACCAACAGAATGCCATCAGAAAACCATCATGATGGTAAACAGTGGTGTGAAACAAATTAATGCCCAAAAATTTGTATACTTCATGTAATGTGCATGACATGAAAGTAGTGTCCTGATCAGCAAGGATCTCTTTTGTGTTCCCAACTTGGGAGTAGGGCTGGGCGATAAAACGATAACGATAATCATCGCGATATAACTTTTCCTCGATAGAGCGATAAGCCATGTCCGATAAATGTTCGATATTATACACCATTCTCACACTTCCACGTTCAGCGAAAGCCGTGGTGGCGTTTTCTACTGCAAAGAAAGCGACACTACTCTGCTGTCGCTAGGAGAGGGCGAACTTCCGAGTTTTTCGACATGATAAGAGAGGGAGGGGGCCACGAGTAAGATGAGTCTTTAGCAACGGCTGAAATGCGGAGTTATACATTCCCTGTTTGAGCGGAGCGACGGGCGGTCTGCTCGAGTGTGAGTGACGAGGTCAGTGGTGTAACTATACTGTCCTGCAGTGAACTCACCTCTTTCCGGACATCCTAACCAGCTTTAGCAGCGTTAAATCACGTCTGATACTCACAACTAAGCTGTTACAGCGCTCGGACAGTCATATTTAAGTATTAGTGCATTCCCAGCAACGAGAGTGAAAGAAAGAAGTGGGTTCATGTAAATTACAGCCCTGGTTTAAACGACAGTAAACTGAGGAAGCTGTGCGGCATTGGAGAGCGGGAGAGCGCTAGCTTTCCAGGCTAGCTGTTTTTAGCTGCTGGCTAACTTGAAGCAGCGCTCTGTCACTCCAAAACACGGAGAATTGATGATACTGTAGATGAAACACGACACAAAAGCACTATTTTCAGTTTAAATGTACCTAAAGGAGGACTCCGTTTGTCTGGTGTGAGATATATTGCGGTAAACTACTACGATAGTAACCTATAGACAAATCCAGTCATCGCTAGCTGGTGTCTTAATACTGTGATGTCATTTGTAACGGGTAGCCGAGTGCTCGTCACCAGACAGATAAAATAATCTGTTTCTTTCTTAAATTATGACTATTACAAAAACTGCGGCTGTGCTTTTCCAGGTGATAAAAGCAGCTCACTAGACACCTTATCCCACTGTCCCATGAGAGATTTGTGAAATGTTCCACTGCTTGGTGAGTGTTTGTCATGTTCCGACCATAAAGGATAGTTTAAAACCACAATTAACCACCCAGGAGCAAAAATCAGCCTTTAAACGTGAAAGAAATAATGATTGACATTTATTGCGATATGTATCGATATCGAACGATATGAATTTTGTTTATCGTGATAATGTTTTTGGCCATATCGCCCAGCTCTACTTGGGAGATCATTTGGAAGAGCGCCTCCACTCCCAATAAGCCGTCTCTTGAGCACTCTTGGACTGGAACAGCCCTAGATGAAGCCGGAAGCATGCCTGTCTGTAGAGTCTTGAATTCTTATTGCAGGACACTTTTCTAACAATTCTCTCACTAACCCCTTAAATTGAGGCCAATTAGTGCCCAAGATTAGAGGATTACAGGAAAGGTGAGGACTAAATGCCATCTCAACACAATGCTTTTCATCCCTAATATCACAGAGTCATGAATGTCCCACACCTTTTCTTATTGCAGGACCCTTTTCTAACACTTCTCTCACTAACTCCTTAAATTAGTGCCATCTCAACACAATTTTTTTCTCCCCTAAAATCAACAGTGGATAATCATTAACGTCCTAGTGAATGTCATTCACCGAACGTTTACACAATAAGCCTTCTCTAAAGTCATGTCTTGAATCAAGTATTGGGGAACTGTGGTTTGATCACAGCCGGAATCAACCAAGGTGCACCCCCTTGAATACTCTGGTATATGGTACATCTCTATTAAATCAGGCAAGTGTTGTGGTGATGCAGGAACCTGGGCCAATGTCCCGGCCTCCATGTGGTCCTGGAAGTGCAAGGGCTCCCCACAGTGCCAACACACCTGCCCAGGCTTCACCCCAGTTCTTGTGGGCTCAGCCAGTCCCACCTGTGTAGATACAGAATGTTAATGTTGAGAATAGCTGGGAGGAGTTTGAGAGAGATACAAGGGGGAGAATCGGGAGGATTACAGTGGACTCGAGTGCAAGAAAGGAGTTTAGAGGCCAAAGCATGGTGCAGGAAGGGGAAGAGTGAGAGATGGGTTGCTGTGTAGGGGCTCCTGTCCCAGGGTCTGTAGTCATATGTGCCTGCATCAGCTTGGTGATTTCTTCCAGTAACTCTTGCTGGTGGCACTGGAACCATGCTGCTGTCACCTATGGCAGAAAGCAAATAATTGCTCCAATACCACAAAGTCAAGGACTTTCTCAGAGTCACATTCCTCAGACAGAAGCCATCACCTGCAGAAGTCACAGAGCTGCTGTGCAAACGCAAAGGGCCCATAGAACTCCTGCAGCATCAGCGAGCAGAACTACTGTCTGTGTTGTTTGGGAGTCCACTGAAACAACTAAAGGACAGCCTTTTTTCAGCTCGTCGCACTCCAGCTGCAGATGAGCAGGGACCTGTTGGGTGGTGAGGTGGGCTTCCCCCATTATATCAGGGGGAACAGCAGGAATCTGTGGGATTGGAGACCTCTAAGCTGCAGCTTATCTAAGAGAGTAGATAGCATGGCATGACTTTAATATCTTCGTTTGATAGGCTACCCTAAAAGTTCATGATGAACAGAAATTTTAAGGCCATTACTAAGGAGCATGTTTGGGAAAGCTTAGCCCTAAATATCTAGTGACGTCCTGCTCATAAGCTAAAGCAGTGTAAAGCTTATCTAGTGTTGAAAAGATTTACCACAGCCTGAAATAATAAAAAAAAAAATAGACATCACATACACAAAGGATAGCTTCAATAAAGGGTTTATTTATTCATGAACTAGTAAATAAGGCATTACAAAGTAAATATGCATTAAATGATGGATTTTCACTGATATACATACAGGAACCAGATACATGAAATTTATCTGAGGGATACTCTAATTCAGTTTACTAAAATATTGTAGCAACCCTTTGCTGGCCCTTTGAAGCTCATGAAGTCCAGAGGATCATGGGAGGCAAGGGCCCTCCAAAAAAAGGGGCTAAATGTTAAAACATTGTTAAAACGCCATTGTCTGTTAGTTAAAAGGTATGTGTATGTGTTACTTGTGTTATCCTGTGTTGGGAAGTGAGGTTATTGCATGGGCGTTTTGTGTTGCGGGCTGGTCATTGTAAGGGTGAAGTGTATGGCTGGTGGTGACCTCCCCAGTAAGTTTGTGCTTATGTTAGTGTTTTTTCTGTTATATCAATTAAAAGAACTTCATGCAGCAGAATCATGGCCTACATGTAGAGGTTACCTACATGCTACCGTATGCAAGCCACTCCTTTTGGGGTGGAGAGGTTTGATAGGTTTTAGCATATGAGGTTAATGAATAAGCCATTTGAAATTCATAAGGGAGACATGGCTTTTAATTCACCATGAATCCATTGAACATAATAATTTCCCTTTGGTCCTAAATCTACTCAGCATAAACATAATACATGGAAAGCCATTCTGACAATCTGACGATCATATTAGTACAGTCTATATCATTTCTTATGCAAACACATTTCACTTACGTTAACAAATACACCTTTCAAAAGAAAACAATAGTTAAGTTTACACTATTAATGCTGGAAGAAAACAAATACAGTAGTTTTAAATGAACAGAATTGCATCCTCCTCCTGACTAATAGAAAACAATTATTGTAGACTTAAAAAGTGGAAAGACAGAAAAATAAAGAAGAAAGAAATAAAACCATGCATTTAAACATTATAACTAGCTCTTCGTTAAGCTCATGGCAATTTCTGATTGAGAGTAACAATTATGACAAATGACACAGAAAACTCTTCGTGCAGAATAATTGGTATTTAACCAAAATACAAGTCGTCTGAGATTCAGTTCTGAATTCAGTCACTGGATGGCGCTGTGGACACAAGATAGAAACAGAGTCTTTTATAAAAACAATTTCTCAGCTTTGGAGTGTAGCATGGGCATGATTCTTCAACTCTTCATCATAAAGCGTTCTTGTGTTTAGAGGTAGTTCTGAGTTAATATTAATTTGAGAGGTTTCAATCATATCATGACTTGATTCAAACAAAAGGAAAGATTTGTCATAAAAGCTGAAAAAGATTAAAGAAAGAAATAGCAGGTTGAGAGAGAGAGAGAGAGAGAAGGATAAAGAGCCAAGCTCACTGTCAAATGTGTGTGAAAACATCTACCATTGCATCAGAAACACTATACTAACTTAGATCTGCTAAATTAGAAAGGAAAAGGCTCTTATTATTAAATGTGGGGCTTCTCGGTTGTTATTTTACATATAATGTAAAGAAAAAGGAGAGAAAATATGCAGTACCACAGCTTCCCATTCAGAGTTCAAACTTTAGGCCTGACTTGGTGTTCAGCATAGGAATTTACATTTCATTTTATGCTTTATGTTTTAAAAAAAAACAGTATAAAACACCAGTAGGTGGTTTTCCGCATAAACAGCTTGAAATCAGTCCTGAAACCACTGTTTCCTGCAGACTTTAACTCTTGAGATGTGCTATGGTAATGGTGGGATGTGTTATAGTTATTGGCCATTACTGGCCATTTCCAAAACTGCCCTTAGTGCACTTGTGGGTCCTTGCAGTGCTAAAATGTTTGAAACTCTGTCCACACTCTGAGCAGTGATACGGCTTCTCTCCTGTGTGAATTTGTTGGTGTATTTTGAGATGACTCTGTACAGTAAAAGTCTTCCCACACTCTGAGCAGTGATACGGTTTCTCTCCGGCGTGGATGCGCTGGTGTCTTTTGAGAGCACTCTGTTGATTAAAACTCTTCCCACACTCTGAGCAGTGATACGGTTTCTCTCCTGTGTGAATACGCTGGTGTTTTTTGAGATTAGTCTGTGTAGTAAAACTCTTCCCACACTCCGAGCAGTAATGGGGTTTAACTCCTGTGTGAATGCGCTGGTGTATTTTGAGAGTATTCTGTTCAGTAAAACTCTTCCCACACTCTGAGCAGTGATACGGTTTCTCTCCGGCGTGGATGCGCTGGTGTCTTTTGAGAGCACTCTGTTGAATAAAACTCTTCCCACAATCTGAGCAGTGATACGGTTTCTCTCCTGTGTGAATGCGCTGGTGTATTTTGAGAGTACTCTGTTCAGTAAAAGTCTTCCCACACTCTGAGCAGTGATAGGGTTTCTCTCCTGTGTGAATGCGCTGGTGTATTTTGAGATGACTCTGTTGATTAAAACTCTTCCCACACTCTGAGCAGTGATACGGTTTCTCTCCTGTGTGAATATACTGGTGTATTTTGAGAGTACTCTGTCGAGTAAAACTCTTTCCACACTCCAAGCAGTAGTGATTTTTCTCCTTGCTTTGCTTCTGTGCTTGTCTGCTAGATGTGTTCATGTGGAGGGTACCAGATGATGCCCCCTGAGTCCTGGAACGTCTTCTGGATGCCATATTATTATATATATCACCAGTTTCAGCAGCTTAACTTTCCTCTTGGTGGAATGTCCTGCTGTGTTTACAGAAACATATTTAAGCTGAGTAGGAAAGTGCAGGAGAAGACATCACACTGGGCATCTTTCATTTCTGTAAGAAAAAAAAGAAATATAAGCTCAATCTGCAATGAAACAAAACTAGTCTAATACAAATCAAGAATTCCATCAACTGGCAGAAACCCTAACCTAATTATTCAATTTCCTGAACTACACATACAAACCACTGATGTCATGTTGAAAAGCTGTGTGTCATGTTGCTATACCAATACCAATAATACCAATAACTTGGCTAAATTGACTGTGTTTATTCAAAAACCACCAGCATTTCATACTGTGGTCAACAAAGTGATCCCAAACTCAATATGTTTCATCCTACATATATTTTTCACTAAGTGTAAGTGGATCCTCTGCTTTACAAGGTTAAAGAGCTGGCATAAAAATTTCGCTACATATGAGCTTATTTATCTTATTAGGCCTTACTCCAAGTCATGTATAGACAATTCAGTGCATAATAAATTGTGTTCCTTCAAACCTCTTGGAGTGTTTACACTTCACAGCCATGGACCCTTTCGAAACTATAGATTAGTGACTGATAAAATATATCAATTCCTTCCCTTATAAACTTCCACTGACTTAAAAGGCATTAACATCTATTGAAGTCATAGGTGAAGGTATCATGATTGGGTATAAACTTCCAAAAAAGTCTCTGCAGTTGCAAGTGAAGATGGGTCATGGCTCACCACTTTGTGCCACACTTTGTGACATCAAGCAGTTCAAAAAGAACATGTACAAGATTGCTAAGAATTTGTGTCTTTCACCATCTACCCTACATTAAATTGTGAAATCCAGAGAAATCTCAGTCTCAGACTGTTGAATATGCGTGACCTTGGAGCTCTTTGATAGCACTGCATGAGAAACTGTGATGCTGCTGTGTTAAATACAGCCACATGGGCTCAGGAGTACTTTGGAAAACTGTTATCACTAAACACCGTACGCCACTGGATCAAAAAATGCAACTTGAAACACTTTTATGCAAAGAGAAAGCCATTCATCAATTCTATGAAAAAACACTGCTGAGTTCTCTGGGCCCGAGCTCATGTCAGACGGTCTGAGAGACAGTGTAAATGTGTCCTGTGGTCAGATGAGTCCATGTTTCAGCTTATGTGTGGGATAAACGGACGTCAACCTCTTTATGCCAAAGACGAAAGGGACCACATCAAGACTTTTTAATCAGCGAAAGGTGCAAAAGCCAAGATTTGTCATGGTACGAGGTGCATCAGTGGCCATGGTTTGGGTGACTTGCATTTATGTGAAGGTACCACTGACGCAGAGAAGTGTATTAGGATTTTAGAGGGACATATGCTGCCTTCAAAACAATGTTTTATCTTGAGATGTCCATGATTATCTCAGCAAAACAGTGCCAGGCCTCATCCTGCACATTAAAATGGTGTGGCTGTATAGGCACAGTGTGCTTGAATGTCCTGTCTACAGTCCAAGTAACTTCTGCTTCTCTTTTAAAACTGCAGTAGCCACCGTGCTGCAATGAAAAAAAAAGACACGACCCGTCTTACTCGCCCCGAACAGCTGTACCGCACTGGCACATTTCAAGCCTTTCTGTGTTGCTAGGAGATTTGCCGCCTGTCCGGCTATGGACATCTTGCTGACATTGTCGGTCACAAGAGCAGGTTTTTTGTCTTGTAAATTCCCCTCTTCACATGCTTTTCTCAGCACTGCCCCAATATTTACTCCTGTGTGTGTCGTTCAAAACGCTGTTTGAAGAAAGTAATTCTTAATTTGCCAGTCAGAGTCAATGAAATGACAGGTTATGGTTATGTACGCTTCTATGGTACACGACGTTCAGCCATCTGTTATGTTGCGGTTCGCCCTGCATTTTATGTCATCTTGTACTTCTTGATACAGTTTAGGTATGCAGCTTTCACTGAAGTGTAGTCCAGAGGGAATGTTGTATTCCGGCTCCAGCGTGTGCAGAAGTTCACGAAAGCTTTCATTTTCTACTACACTATAGGACCGCATATCCTTGCAAATGAAATAGGAGATGGCAGACGTAATACTCATCACTCTTTTGAAAGTAGTTGGGTCATTTCACTTTTTTCTTACTTGAGTCTTTTTTTCAACGATATCCTTGGTTAACATGTCATTTACTACTACTAAACAATAGTACTAAGCAAAGTAGCTTTAATGCTGTACAGATTTACACTAAAACTCTTTGTTTAGCTTACCTCATTTCACAATGTTAATTGCATTTGTTTACAGTATCTACTTACTGTTATGTTGTTTTCTGCTTATGACTGCTGTATTTGACATTTAATAATAAAATGGTCAAATTAGGATTTGTCTGCATTTGTGAACTCATAGAAATATAACAGATTGTGTGGAATCACATCGACTCGTGTTGAAACAAACCAGTACCATACCGAATCACACTGTGGCCATTTTCCAAATATCAAAAATTATCGTATCGTTGGTTAAAAGAAGGCGGCACGGTGGCACAGTGGGTAGCGCTGTCGCCTCACAGCAAGAAGGGCCTGGGTTCGATTCCCGGCCGGGTGACCAGGGTCGTTTCTGTGTGGAGTTTGCATGTTCTCCCCATGTCTGCGTGGGTTTCCTCCCACAGTCCAAAAACATGCAGTCAGGCCAATTGGACATGCTAAATTGCCCCTAGGTGTGAGTGTGTGTGTGGATGTATATGTCTGTTTGTCTGCCCTGCGATGGACTGGCGACCTGTCCAGGGTGTATCCTGCCTTCCGCCCGATGACAGCTGGGATAGGCTCCAGCGACCCAGAAGGATAAGCGGTTTAGAGGATGGATGGATGGTTAAAAGAATCGATGTAAGATTGTATCATCATGAATCTTGCGATTTACATCCCTACTACATATTACAGCACTAATCAAAGACCCACTACATCAGAAATTAACTAAGGCCTATAGTTATTTTAATAATGCGTTTAGAGTTATTCAGTTTTGCATGTTTGCTACCAAAGCACCTACTCTGTGCTGTTGCCTTGGCAACGGCCCTATTAACCAATTTAAACAAATAAACATCTTTGTATCTCAAACACCACCAAATCTGCATTAATTGGTACTGAAGTACTGTTTACTGATAAAAATACAAGGATCTGCAGGAAGAATGACTTCATCATGAATGTGACTACCTGCCCCATCACCCCCTACTCACACTCTCGCTATACACAATCTTATACTCTTCCTAATCTGCACCTCCACAGACATTCACAGCTCTCACATTACACCTCTCCTCTAAACAGACCACCTCAAACAGCCACCATAGACCCTCTTACCAGCTCTTAATCTACCAGCCATTGACCTGAACCCCACACCCATTCACAGCTCTCAAACTACACACCCCTCTTAACAGATCACCTCAAACAGCCACCATACACCCTCTTACCAGCTCTTAATCTACCAGCCATTAACCTGAACCCCCCACCTGAACCATTCACAGCTCTCACACTACACCCCCCTCTAAACAGACCACCTCAAACAGCCACCATAGACCCTCTTACCAGCTCTTAATCTACCAGCCATTAACCTGCACATCCTGCCCAGACATTCACAGATCATTTATACTGTTCTATAATAAACTGCTATTTATTCTCCACATTTGTACATATAATGGACTCTTTTTGATGATGAATTCAACAGACTTTGTTTATATTTAGCCACACTAGCTAAAAGCCATTGATAACAAACTGTTATCCAGCTAACATAAAGCAGCTGTCTGAGTCACATTTACCTGAGATTTTGTACTCAGTTCTTTAAAAGGCTGATGCTACAGACAATAAAACCACCAATAATGCAATTTCTCTGACATCAGCTCAGTATAAAGAGCTAACATTAGTGTAAAGTCTACTTGTGTTTAAGTTCACTTCATTAATAAAAGGTTCTAAAATACAGAGAATTCCACAAAATTCACAATTTACTGAAAGAACATCTGAAGGTTAATATATGCAGTTCATGTCATTATAAACACCACGGATCTGTAATGTAGAGGATCAGATTCAACCTTAAAAAGACTCATTGCAGCCAGAACATATTACTAGTTTGGTTGAGTCATTTGCTGCAGGATGAACACTAGTTTTAATATTATACTAAGCAGTAACATTAAAATCCATATCCTACAAATAAATACAAAAAAAAAGAATAATCACAATCACGTGATCAACTGCTGCAGCCAGTGTATAACCCCACTTTAAGCTTTGTGTATTCTTATAAAAACACCTCCATATCATACACAGAAAGGGAAAAGCCACATCTGCTGCTCCTCAGAAACACAGCCCATTTACAAACCACCATCTGAGACACCCAAATATTAAATTAAGATATTTACATTAAATATCTGAATATTTCAGACGGTAGACATTAATAAACACAGCGTGAAGAAACACATAAGTTCCCCAAACCCGATCACAGCAGCTCCTCCTCTAAATCACTGCAGGATGAGCAGCGTTTCCATCAATGAGGCTCTAACAGACATTTAAAGACCCTCATCAGTCAGTTACACCGACATATAAGGACTGAAACCAGCTTAAAGCAGCACTTACAGCTTTTTAATCTCAGACTGAGTCTCCGTTTCAGAGTCTCCCGCAAACACAACACGCTGTCCTCATGGAGTTCCACCAGTTCCACCGCCTCCGTGTTCGTAGCCCACCGTAACACCCCTATTACACGGGACTCCTATTCACCCTAATATATGCTCCTCCCACATTAGCTGACACAGCCTGTACCTCCCACCACAAACAACTGTCAGAAAAGGGAGATCAGAATGCAGCTGCTAGCCTGCCGTTAGCAACAGCAGAGCTAAAACACGGTCAATCACACTCACAGCACATAGAAAAGATTTGGAAAAATAAAATACATCAATACATATATAGAGAGATAAAATAGATAATTAAGTAATGAGCCTGTTTTGAAAATGTACACAGTGAAAAGTGCAGATTCTTCTTTTGAAATGTAGTGATTCAAAGTAAAAAGTATTAAGTGACTGAAGTAAAGTAATGAAGTACTAGTTAAGACTTAAGTACAGTAATGAAGGACTTCTGCGTTACCTACCAG